GATCATCGGCGTGTGAGATGCTTCCCCCTCCACAAACCCCTCCCCCGGGAGCCCGGTCCGGTCGATTTGGAGGGGGGGGGGGGGTCCGGCGCGAGCGGGGGGGGTCCGGGACGAGCGGTTCACGGGGCTTGTCCGGGCCCAAGAGGGCCTCAAGACGGGCCAAGAAGCCCCCAAGAGGCCTCCACGACGGCCCACGAAGGCCCCGAGACGCCAAACGACCGCTCCAAGGCGCCCAAGATGGCCCCAAAGACGGGCCAAGAGGTCTCCAAGACGGCCCCCGAGGTCCCAAACAAGCCTCCCAAGAGGGCCCCAAGAGTCTAAAATTGTTGATTTTCCATAGTGTTTTTCGATGTTTTTTGCTTTTCCGCCTTTTCGGCTTCCCGACGCTCCAAGACGGCCAAAGAGGCCCCAAAGACAGCCCCAAGATGGCCCAAGAGGCCCCCAAGACGGCCTCCAGACGGCCCAAGACGGCCCCAACACGGCCCAAGAGGTCCCCAAGACGGCCCAAGAGGGCTCCAAGACGGCACCAAGAGGGGCCCAAGAGGGCGACCAAACATGTTGAAACTCTAGCTTTCTGCCCCCAGGAGCCCCAGGGGGCCCCAAGAGTGCCCCAAGAGGCCCCCAGAGGCCCTCACGAGGCCGCCCAGACGCCCCAAGGAACCCCCAAGAAGCACCCCAGAGGCTCCGAAACGGCCCCCAAGTGGCTCCAAAACTCGCTTCCAGAGGCCCCCGAGAAGCGATCCGCGAGATCCCGATACACATACAAGAAGCCTCTCACCCATAACCCATAACCCAGAGCCGTTTCTCCGTGCCCCCCTTCTCCTCCTCCTCCTTTTCCTCCACCTGGGCCCCCAAGTGGTTCCCTTTGCACGCGCCGTGGCCTCGCGCACATGGCCAAGTTGACCCATCATGACTCCTGGGCAGTCCCCCAAAAAAACTCCCGACCGCTACCGAAACGGCTCGAAGACATTCCCGAGCCCAACCTGGCTCCATTATGCCTCTCAGATGGCCCCAGATGAGACCACGACCGCCCGCGGTGTCGCCGTCCGCTCGGACCCCCCCGCGGAACTGCCCGAGACCCTCTGGCGGTGGCGGCGAACAGACACCAAACAAATATCACTCGCCTTTTCACCCCTTCGCAGCTTCTACTACCCCCAGATTGGCATAAACAAGGGGTCGGCGGTGTGGCGTAAGCCTAAGAATCTGGATCATGCGCGGCCACCCCGCGATCACTGCCAAGTGGTTTTTGACAGGGACGGCGGGGGTGGTGGCGTATGGCCAAACACAATGATGGGCATTGGTTTTCGACAAGCATGGTGGGGCCGACATGTTTCCCGATGCGTGCTATCACGTGCGCAGGCGCACCTGACACACTCTGCACGTGTCCCGAACGTGGCGCACCTAGCGCGGCTGGCGTATGCGGCACACCTGGCGCACGCAGAAGCACGTGGCGCATCTGGCGCACCAGGCGTGCCCGGCATGCTCGGGCCCCAGGAGTGCCTGGCGCGCGTGGCGCGCCTGGCACGCGTCGCACACCTCGCACCAGCGTCGCGCACATGGGCTCTGTTTTGGTTTTCTGTAGCTGTCCATCCAAAGACGACCGCTGCACATGCTGAGGCTCGGGTGTTACTTCTGTGCCGGGAGGGCGGGTGGGAGTGAGCTAGACGGCTTGCCATCTAGGAGGCTGTCTTGACCCCTCCCCCTCCCCCCTCCCCTGGGCCTGGGAGGGGGGGGCGCGGGTGGGGCCCACCAAGAGGCCCAGATCTTTCAAACACCTACGGAGATCACTGTTTTTTGCCTTCTCGCCTTTGCGCTTCCGATGGGCTCTTGAGGCCTCAAGATGGCCCCAAGACGGCCCCAAGAGCGCCCCACGAGGGCCTCAAGGTATAATGTTTGAGCCTCTGAGTGGGGGGGCTGAATTGGGACCCCTTCTTTTTGAGCCATGGGGCACACGACGGCCCCAAGAGGCCCCCCAGACCCCCCCAAAGAGCCCCAAGAGGGCCCCTAGACCCCCTAAAGAGAGCCCCAACGAAACTCCAATGTGCCCCAAGTGGCTCCGCGAGGACCCGAAGAGAGACCCAGGACGGCTCCAAGAGACCTCCGAGAAAACACTTCCCAGGCGACTGTTACACTGCATGCGTCTACACTTCCCTGATCAAAGCAACACGCCTGGCGATCTGTTTCTGTATGGGCTGGCAGGGATACGCGAAGCGTCAAGCATTCCTACTTTTTGTCCCTAGCGCCTCTTCGGCCCTGAGTCAGCTCCAAGACGAACTAAGATCGCCTCAAGACGGCTGCAACATGTCGCAAGATCCGCCAAAGATGGCTCAATCCAAGAGGCTCCAAGAAGCCTCGAAATGACCCCAAGAGACGACCAAGGATGCCTCCAGCGAGGCCTAGAGAGGCAAACAATACTGGCACCTGAAGAAATCTACGTTTTACTGCCGACGCGTTGAGCAACCCAAACCGCCTCCAAGACGGCAACAAAACCCACCCACCGCCCACAAGACGGTTCGACCGAGCGTCTTGAGGAGAGCTCGTTTGACCATTACACCCGACACGGCCTCGAAACGACCCGATGGCCTCAAACGGACCCCAACAGGCCATAAGGTCACCCACGAATGAGCCACTGAGCTGGAACGGCTCTGAAACTCAACCTCTTCCTGCTGAGTTGTTGAGCCCGGCCAGTGGCGGGGCAAGATAAATCAACATCGGATCGGAAAAACGGACCGAATCGGAATGATCGGGCTGCGTCGGCACAGCATCGACATCGAATTGGATCGGCCGCGCCAGGATATACAACAACGTCACGCACACATCGGCCCTCATCGGATCGTCGGAATATCGGAATCGGATTGGAGAGGACCTCATTAAACCGATGTCGACTTGGATTGATCGGGTCGGCATGGACCCTGCGGTGGTGGGCTTCGCCACAGACAGCTGCACAAATAGATGAAGATGGTGATGCAAGTTGGCGCATGCACAGGCAATGGGGCGTTCGCGGGCACTAACAAACACAAAAAACAAAAAAATATGGCACGCGAACCGGCGCGGCACAAAACCGCTTGCTCTCGCAATCAAAATATGATCCACATATGGCTTGCTAGGAGCGACCAGCACGCAGAAATATTTATCCGTTTTGAGGATCCCGTCCGTGTTCCCCCCCCCGCTGGACCAGATTTGCCCAGGTCGCGCGCGCGAGTTCCACAATCTGGTTGCGCATGAGGAATGCGCAAGCGAATAATAAACAGCCTTCTTGTGTTATCGTGCAGGGTGAATGCTCGCCGCCGAAGAGCCTCAAAACCGTGCGGTCACCCCGGATCCCCAACTGCACCGTCTGGGGGCCCCCGAAGCTCTGCGGCAGATGCCTCGCGCGGGAGCGCACCCGTGGTGTCGCGCGCCCTCGGGATCGCGCCGCGGTGCCCGGACCGCAGGGGCACAGGCGCAGATGCTAAAAAATCAGAACCAACCAAAGACACACGTTCCGAGATCCGCGCAGACTTCTTGGATCAGCGCTGGCCCCCCCTCACTGGCGCGCGGAGCGCGCCAAGGGCGACGCCAGAGGCGCCGCCAGGGGGCCCAGCGCCGATCCAAGCAATCCGCGCGGAGCTCCGACAGCTTAGGCTTATTTTACGCAGCTGCTTTTCTTCGAAACCGCACGGGCACGAGCACGGATGTTAGAAGAAGAACAACCGGCATAACCGTAAATGTTTGCCAGCATGGACCCCGAATGGTGAGTTGTCGCACTGTCGCGGTGGAAGCTATGTGTTGGAAGCTATGTGGTGAAGGCTATGTGGCGGAGGCTACGTGGTGGAAGCTGTGGGGTGGAAGCTACGTGGTGTAAGCTATGTGGTGGACAATCTCCGACGGACGCTGTGTGCTGGAAGCTGTGCGGCAACGCCTCGCGTCCGCAGACCTGCCGGCAGGATGCTGGGTCCCACAAAAATTGGGCCCAAGTCTTCGTGCTCTCGACGCTTCGCGCCTCCCCGCTGGACGAGGGAGGCGCACGCGGCGGCAACGAGTCGGCAACGGGCCGGACCGTGGCGAATCCTCGACGCACCCGCCCAAGCGGCAGCGGGCGGCAGCGCGGCGAGTCCTCGACGCGCCCCGCACGAGCTGCAACGCGCAACGGCGGGCGGCAACGGGCCGAAACGTGGCGGGTCCTCGACGCACCCACCCACAGGGGGAGGAGGGGGGAGGAGGAGGAGGAGGAGGAGGAGGGGGGAGGAGGAGGGGAGGAGGAGGAGGAGGGGAGGAGGAGGAGGGAGGGAGGAGAGGAGGAGGGGGAGGAGGAGGAGGAGGAGGAGGAGGAGGAGAGAGGAGGAGGAGGAGGAGGCGGAGGAGGAGGAGGAGGAGGAGGAGGAGGACATCGGCCGCGTCGCGAGAGCGACTCGGGGCCGCGCTCGAAGGGCTCGAAAGGAGGAGGAGGACACGAGCTGCAACGAGTGGTCCCAAGCGGCAACGGGCGGCAGGGGCGGCAACGGTCGGGAACGCAGCGAATCCTCGACGCACCCACATAAGCAGCAACGGGTGGCGACGGGCGGCAACGGGACACAGCGCAGCGAATCCTCGACGCACGCATCCGCTTCCCTAGTAAGATGAGTAAGAACCCCTACGTGCAAGCATTGTTTCGGGAACTTTTGGAGATCCGCGCGGATTCCTTGGATCTGCACTGAACCCCCTCGCTGGCGCGCGGAGGGCGCCAGGGGCGGCGCCGGAGGCGCCGCCAGGGGACCCAGCGCCGATACAAGAAATCCGCGCGGAGCTCCGACAGTTTACGGTTGGCGTTGGCAAGAGAGCGTGCAACATCGACCTCCGAAAAGCACGCTGTCCCTGCGAGGCGATCCCCCCGCGAGGGGCTGCTTCTGTGCACGCCGAGTCCCCCTCGCCATCGCTCGGACGTCCATTCCCTGTGCTTCTTTCGGTTTCGTGCGTGTTTTTTTCGCCAAATGGTCGAGGATGCTCCTCGATGGCCCTCGCCGAAAAAAAAATGCGCACGTCCGAGCGATGCCGAGCCCGTGCACGCCGTCCCCAGCAGGGGGGATGGCGTGGAGCGAGCGGGCCGGCGGCGCCACGCCGCACGCCGCCTCTGCCTCGCCGACCGTGTATGCTTACGCCGATGCTTCTCCTTCGAGGTCTGCCCGCCGCCAGTGGCTCTTCGTGCTCCGAGCGCCCTCCTCGGCGAGGGTCTTAGCCTCTCCCGCGGGGGGCCGGCCGCGCGTGCCGGCGCGCGGCCGGCGGGGCCGTGGCCCTCACGGCGGCCCTCGTGCTGCGGCAGCGTGCGGGCAGCAGCGGGGGCGGGGGAGGGGCAGGGCGGCTGGCAGCGGCCAAGCAACGTCAGGGGGGGACCAAGCCAGGGGGGAGCATCGACCCGGAATCGGCGGTGCATCGCCAAGAGCTCGGCGCTAGGCCCCCGGCAGCGAACCCGCCGGGTCCTGGGCGGGGTGGGCCATCGGGCTCCTCTCGGCGATGAATGGGCGACTCGGGGTCGATGCATCCCCGACTGAGCCTATTCCCTCCTTGGCGTTGCCCCTGAAGGAAGTGTGTAGGGGCTTGACAACCTCAGGCGTCCAGCGCCTCCGCGAAGGCAGCGTCGGCGCCGGTGGTGTCGAGCACGCCTGCGCGGCGCCTCCTCTTGGCCTCGCTCCTGAGGGCCTTGGACGCCTGCCGCTTCATGGCCTCCTGCTGCGCCGAGCCCACGTCGCTAGCCTTCTCCTCTGCCGGCTCCAGGACCATCCTCCTCCCGTAGAGGTGCGTGTGCTGCAGGGCCTCGAAAGCCGAGGCGGCCTCGGACTTCGACGCGAAGTCCACGAAGGCGAAGCCGCGGTGACCGCTGTAGTCCGCCTTCTTGGGGATTCGCACGGCTGTCACGGAGCCGTAGGCGCCGAACAGCGATCGCAGCTCCTCTTGGCGGCGCGCGCAAGGGGATTGGGCGAGGGGATCAGCCTTCCACTAATAATTACAATAACAATACTAATAACCATAATCATAATAGGGACAAGAAGAAGACGAAGAAGGCGGGGGAGCTTCTTCAGGACGAGAACAATTATCGTGATGCGATTGGCTCAGGACACGTCATTATAGCTTCAGAGCCTCTAGCGGCCCTCGTTTCTGGAGCCCGTGCGGAACAATAGGAGACCCTGGAAATCCTGGAACGCGTGGAAACATTGGCACGTATCGTGATTCTGGCGGTCGTAAAGGGGTGTGGCATAAAGTGGGGTGGTGCCAATCGTGGAAATTGCGATGTTATCTACGATAGATAAGCTCGCCAGATCCAGCACTGGCACCACACCCCTTTACACCACACCCCTTTCCTACCCCCAGAGTGAGTTCGACGTCTTGCGCCCCTGACTCTTGGAAGCTCTCCAGGCTTCTCAGAAGGCTTCTCGGCAGCGCCCCCCGCCCTCTTGCAAAAGGCGGCCGCCCACCTCGCGCCGAACCCTCTTTGAGAGCCGCCGCCGCCCTGTCCTTCTGGGTCGCCTCGAAGGCCAGATTGCGCACGCATATTCGGGTGGTCGTGATGCCCCGTGGCCCCTCTCCAGAGGCCTCCCAGATGGGATCGGAGCAGATGGGTTCGGAGGGTCGCGCCGCATGGCCGATGCATGGCCGATGCATCGTCGATGCATCGGCGCTGCATCGGCGTAAAGGAAGTCTGGCTCCACGACAAGCCGCGTTGCCGATGCATCGGCGATGCCAGGGGAACGAAATATCGCATAAGCATAAACATCTCGGAGGTCCGCGCGGATTTCTCGGCTCCGCGCGCCAGGGGCGGCGCCGGAGGCGCCGCCAGGGGGCCCCGGCGCCGATCCGAGAACTCCGCGCGGACCTCCGAGATGCTGATGTTCAGTGTCACTGTTTCGTTCCCCTGGACGTGGCGCGGGCCTCCGACCCCGCCCGCACGGACCCCACTTGGGCGGCGCTGACCTTTGCCTTCGCCACGGCGTCGGAGCGACCGCCCTGCCTCCCCGCGCCGCGGGCCTGGGAGACCTGGAGCTGCACGGCGTGGCCGTCGATCGTCGCGCCCTGCCTGAAGGGGCCCAAGGACACACAAATAAATACACACAAATAACAGGATCCCCCATATTTTCTCATATTTTCTGGGTTTTTGTCTTCCCCCCACTTCCCATATTTTCCCACATTTTCTGGGGAATCGACGACTAATTGTGTCTGTGTTTTTTTCCCCCTCCTGACTGCCTCCTCTTGAGCACCTCCATGGCGCTGGCGGCGGTGTCGAACTCCAGGAAGCCGTAACCCATGGAGAGGCCCTCCTTCCCCGAGTCGCTGCCCCCCTGCTTCAGCGCCGCCTTCTTCTTCATCACCACCGCCGACCTTCGGGGGGCCAGTGGAGGCAACGGCGGCCCTCCCGCCTGGCCCAGATCTGCTCGAAATCAGTCCTGAGACCCCGCCCGGGGTCCATCCCGACTCGTTATTCGATGCATATCTGGCCGTGGCGACGAGAAGCCTCCACGAGGCCCAACAAGGACGGAACACGCCAGGGAGGGCGGGCCGGCCCTCCTCCGGGACCTGAACCCCCTGCAGGACGCGAACGCGGACTTCAGCGCCGCGTCCGTGGTGGCAAAGCTCAGGTTCTTCACGAAGAGGCACCCCTGAGCCGGCTCCTCGGCGCCGTCGTCCCTGCCCGCGGCGTCGGCCGCGGCGTCGGCCTCGTCGTCGGCCGCCGCGCCTGCCTCTCTCGCCGACGCGGGGCCGGTGAAGACGTCACCCGGAGCCCACTCCAGGTACAGCGGCACGTGGCGGTAGCGCGAGAACGCCAGCTTCTGGAAGGCACGCTTCGCGTGGCCCTTTCCGACCAGCCACGACCGGAGGAGCTGTGTTCCCTGCCCCCCGAAGGGGGGCCCATCGCATGGACGTTCCCTCGGAAATTGTCGAAGCCGACGGTGGGGGACCAATCGTGATGATACCGCTTCTCCCAGCACCCCTCTCCTGGGGTGCTTTCTGGCCAGAATTTCATGGAGAATCCAGCCGTGGCGACGAGGGCTCTCCAGGACAAGCAGCGGTACGGCCGGACCTAGGACAGACGACCGCCCTCCAAGAGCATGAAACCCTCCGCCGGCCAAACACACAGAACATTCGAGGGTACCCTCCCCCAAGATGCACAAGAACATCCAACAAGCACAAAGAACATACTGCCGGAACCGACCTCGATCTTATGCCTCGGTCCGACCGTATCCGGTATCTTTCCCCCCTTTGAGATGGTCCCCCCAAGGGGGTCGAGGGCCGCAACTCCCCCAGCTGCGGCTCGTCCGCCTTCTCGGCGTACTGGACCACCGCGACGGTGCCCGAGGGCGCCAGCGTGCACCGTATCAGCTCGCCGTACCTTGGCGGCGCGCACAGGGGGGTAGGGGGAGGGGGGAGGGCTTCTTAGACGGAGGCTGCTTCTTAGAAGGCGCCGGCCTCACATCTTCAGACAAGGCCCGCACCTTCTGAGAAGCAGGGGCGCTCCTAAGAAGGCCTCCCCCCTCTCCCCCCACCCCCCTCTGCGCGTGGCCGAGCACCTCGCGAACCTCTCCCGGAGCTCCTGTCGGGCGTTCGTCGGCGGGGGGGGCCCGAGAAACGTGGGGTGAAGAGACGTGCGCCCTTCGGCCCGCGGTGGCAGCGCAGGGGCCGCCGAGGGCCCCCTCCGGGCCACGTTCCCGGAATCCTCGATCCTCCACGTGTACTGCCCCCTTCTGGCCGGCCGCTCGATCCTGCAGGCTGGAGCCCGCTGGCAGGTGCTTCACGACGAAGGCGTCCTCGCGGCGCTCGTCCTTGCCCTCCGTGGCCAGTCGGCTGGCCACGAGGCTGGGCCCGGATCTCTCGAAGGCGTCAACACGGATGCCCTCCTACGGAGGTCGAAGGTGGCAACTCCATCACATGTTGTTCTATCATGTGGTGTGCTGCTAGACTTCCAGTAGACATACGTTAAGGAATCTTGATGTAAGAAATATCGAGGCACGCGTGTCTTCGATCTTTGAGGTGCACACGAGCTTCTGTGGGTCCCAGGGGCAACGCGAAGATCAGAAACTTCCGTGGGGCACCTGCTGGCAGACTGGTTTCTCATTTGACGTGCCTACTGTAACTTGTAATCGCAAGCGGTACGCTGTTCGGGGGGACCGCCCAACGACGGTCGCCAAGGCCATCACCAGTGGTGCTGCTCGACCAGCGCATCCGGTTCTACCCCGTACCCTCCTTTGAGAAGGCTCGAGTTTCGGGGGGACTCGAATCTGCCTGACAGGGCCGTCTGAAAAATGGCGGGACCTGATCTGAAAGTTGGCGCGAGCTCCCGCTGCAAGCATCTCACGAAGGCTAGGCCGCCGGAGCTCGCTCACGCCAGAACCGCAAGAGAGCGGCGGCGGGTACGAACTCCGGCCAGCTCGAGCCTTCCGTTCCCCGGGTCCTTCTGCAGCCAGCGCTTCGTCTGCTGGATGATGGACGTCTCCGTGAGCGCGGCCGTCACGGCCGCCCCCTGGGCCTCTTTGCCGAACAGCTCGCCCTTCGAGAGGCCGAGCTCCGCCGAGGCCGCGTCCGCGGCGGCGCTGGCCGAGACGTACAGCAGGTTCCACGTGTGCTGCATTCCCGCCTCGGCCTTTCGAGGCAAGGCGAGCTGGGACGCCGGCAGCCCAAGATGGGCCCCCGGACCCCTCCCGGGGTCCAGACGCGCCAGCGCTCCGATCAGTGTCCGGCCGCGGCGAAGAGGGCCCCCCCCGAAGGCCAGCTACCGGGTGAACTCAACTCGCCCTCCTCTGATGGACCAGAAACTACACGACACCACCCCACTACGACCCAGCGTTGTTGAAAGTTTAGGCGCTTGCCCCGTGCAGTCTCGATGTGCCATCATGGAGGCCGAGGCATCTCCGAAACGAGTGCGCGGCAAGGTTGCAAAAAACCAACACGGCGGGTTGTAGGTCCGTGTGGTTTGGGTCTTGGTCGATCTGAGCCTTCTTCTTCTCGGCCAGCCGCTGCTTGTAGGCCGACTTCCGGGACCCGCCCGCGGCGGCAGCTCCCGCAGGGGCCTCCGCGGGGGGCCGCGACCGCGCGGGCGTCATGTGCAGGAGGCGGCCCTGGAACGGCTTCAGGGAGAGCTCGCTCAAGGCGCGGACGGCGCACTCCGGGAACACGTAGGCCACGTAGCCGAGCCCCCTGGACTTGAGCGAGTCCTCGTCCTGTGGAGGCCGCCCCGGATGGGTGACAGAAAACCAGAGGAGGAGGAGGAGGAGGAGGAGGAGGAGGAGGAGGAGGAGGAGGAGGAGGAGGGAGGAGGAGGAGGAGGAGTGAGGAGGAGGAGGAGGAGGAGAAGGAGGAGGAGGAGGGAGGAGGAGGAGGGGAGGAGGAGAAGGAGGAGGAGGAGGAGGAAAAGGAGGAGGAGGAGGGAGGAGGAGGATGAGGAGGAGGAAGAAAAGGAGGAAGAAGAGGAGGGCACGGCGGCCTCACGCGAAGGGCCAGGCACGGGCTGCCGGCGCGGCACACCGCGTGGAGAGACGGGGCGCTCACGCGCGGCCTCGCGCGGGCAGCTTGCGCGCCCATGTCCGCGCGTTTGGCCCCGTCTCTAACGCCGCTGAGAGGGGCCCGTGTATGGGGTGGGAAAACCAGACCGCATCGCCGATGCATCGGCGACGTCAAGACGGATAAACTCGGGCGCCGCGTCTACGCTGGCCCCACTTGGGTGGCCTCGGTCCTTGCACAAATGCACAGAGGCGACCTCCCCGAGAGTCTCGAAGTGCGCGTGGAGCTCCTCCTCCGTGGCCCCGTAAGGGATGTTGGTGACGAAGAGCCTGCCTGTGGATTCCAGGTCGTCCCTGTCGTCCACGCCCGCCCTGTCGGCAGCACTGTCTGCCGCCTGCGGCGTCACAGCGGGATCGTTGCCGTTCTCCTCTGCAGCGTTGGCGTCCTGGGCACCATCCTGGTCCGCGCTCTGTGCCACCGCGCCCTTCTTTGCCTTTCTCTTCGCCTTCTTGAGGACCTTCTTGGAAGGTCCTCTGTCAGCCTCGTCCGCTGCAGCTGCCGAGTCGGGGGCGGCGGCGACCGCGTCCGGCGAGGTACTAGAAACCTTCTTCCGCAAGTACGCGAGATCTGACAGGTCCTCGTCGAACGCAGCGCCAGAGGCCCTCTGGCTGTCCCCCGGCCCCTCCCCGGCGCTGCCTGGGCCCGGCCGGGACCCGGAGGAGGCGGCGCCTGCCGTCGGGGCCTCGTCGTCGCTGGACGCGAACTCCTCGGCCACACGCCAAGCGCGACCCTGGGCGAGAGGGGCCCCTGGTGCGCGGCTTCGGGGGCTGTGCGGGCAGGCCGAAGCCAAGCGCGCCAGCCGGTGCTGCAGCGGCCCCCGGGGGCCCGCACCAGTGGCCACTCCGGCGCAAGGCCACCCTTACGCGCAGCAGCCGCACTCCACGTGCACCCGCCGGGAGGCGGTCCCAGCACTGCGCGGCTGCACCGCCGCGACCCGGACCGACCGCTGCCCCGCGGCCGGCGCCACCAGCAGCGGCTTGGGCGCCGTGGCGCGGGCCTTCGCCCGACCTGCGGCCTGCCTCTCGGCCCCGGAGGCCTCCGGCGGCGGCTGCTTCGCGGGCTGGCCCCTCTTGGCGTGCGCCGTCGAGCCCGCAGCGTAGCGGCTCCACGGCCGCGCGAGGCTCTCCGACCCAGGCGCGTGCGCCGCCTCCACGGAGATCTTGCCGGTGTCGAAGAAAGTCTGGTGGAAGCCCTTGATGGCGGCCTTCGCGTCAGCCTCCTTGCGGAACCCGACGAATGCGAACTGCCGGGACTTGCCGTCCGCCGTCTTCTTCAGCCGGCAATCCGTCACCTCCCCCCCAAGGCAACGAGATGCTCGCGCGGCCACGAGGCAATCCGTCTTTACTCGTCTGCCTCCCGGCGGGAGTCCGCTCACGACCAGTCCTAGAGACCCTTCGCAAGCACCGCCCTAAACGAGGAGGCCACTCAAAGGTCGAACCTGTCTTGGGGGGCACGAGGGAAAGCGCACAAACGTCCGAGAGTCTCCACAATTCTGGAAACACTTCCAGGACGGCGGACGAGGCTTCCAGCATGGAGTGCGAAATCCTCGTTTTGGGATTTTTGGAGCTGGTGGGGTCCCTGAGAATGTCGCTTGAGAGATTGCGTTGTGGAGATACCGTCGAGTTCCAGCTGCTGGATGGAGTCCTGGCCCTCCTGAATCCACGCACGCAAAAACAACACAATGAAAGTTGGGTGCAATACATGCTGTGCATGCCGTCCGGTGCAGTATATGCGGTGAATATGTTTTGTTGCGCGTGTGCGTTTGCGTGCGTGCATGTGTGTGTGTGTGTGTGTGTGTTCATGAATGCCCATGGCCAGTGTTAGGGAAGCCATAGGAATCTCGATGGGAATCCAATGGTCCGCTTGGAAGTGCGGCATACATGTTCGGTGGTAGGGAAGCAACTCGATCTGTTGTTCGCAGCGCAGCGGCCGCTCGCATTGCCCCATGGATCGAGCTCGGAGTCGAATGCGCTTCCACCTGCAGGTGAACGGGTTCATGCCAGGAGGAGGCGTGCCCACGGAGAGAGAGACAGAGAGAGAGAGAGAGAGAGAGAAAGAGAGAAAAAGAAAGAGAGAGAGAGGGAAAGAGAGAGAGAGAGAGAGAGAAAAAACAAAGAAAAAAAACAGAAAAAAAAAGAGACAGAGGGGCATCTCTATATTGAAATGTGGAGAGCGAGCGAGACAGCGATAGAGAAAAAGAGAGAGAGAGAGAGAGAGAAAGAGAGAAAGAGAGAGAGAAAGCTGGAGAGAGAAATAAAAAGAGAGAGAGAGAGGGAGAGAGTGGCACACGCACACACATATCCTCTTCCTATATTTGTTCATGTCAGAAGGGCGAGAAAAACCGTCCCCCCCAGAAAAAACCGGACCCCCGGGATCTGGAGATTGGGGCCAACTGGACGCCCTTGAAAAAGGTCCCCCCAGCCCTGCCGCGTTTCCCAGGGCGTCTTGCCAGGCCTTGCCAGCAAGCTCAAAGCGATCAAAGATGTGGTCGGAGAGGCGCAAGAGAGCCCCACGGCAGCGCAAGACGGCGTCAAGACGGCCCAAGAGGCTCCCAATACGGCCCAAGAGGCCTTCAGGAGAGCCCACAAGAGGCAAAGATCACTCCATTCCCAAAGGAAGAGTTTATTCATAAATATATATATATATACATATATATATATATATATATATATATATACACTAGAACCACGCGCGCGCTACGCGCGCGCTTAGGTTCTAGCTTCGTCCGGGGCAACGGCCAAACAACGGACGAGGAGGTTGAAGGCTGAATGCACTTCGGTTATTCGTCGAGTTTCGTGGTCGCGGTTCGAAGAGCTTTTGGGCGCTCCTCACCCCCGGCGGCCCGAGGCGGCCGAAAACGACACCTCTTCCTCGTCCTCCTCTTTCCCCCTGCTCTTCCTCCTCTCCTCCTACTCTTCCTCCTTCCCCCATCGCCCCCTCCTTTCCCCCCTTCCTCCTCCTCCGCCCCCTTCCTCCCCTCCTCCTCCTTTCCCTCCTCCTCATCTCCTCTCTCCTCCTCCTCTCCTCCTCCGCCCTCCTCCTCCTCCTCCTCCTCCTCCTCTTCCTCCTCCTCCTCCTCCTCCTCCTCCTCCTCCTCCTCCTCCTCTTTCCTCCCTCCTCCTCCTCCTCCTCCTCCTCCTCCTCCTCCTCCTCCTCATCATCATCATCATCATCATCACCATCACCATCATCATCATCATCATGTTCCTCCTCCTCCTCCTCCTCCTCCTCCTCCTCCTCTCCCTCCTCCTTCCCCCCTCCTCCTCTTCCTCCTCCTCCTCCGCTTCTTCGTCATCCTCGTCGTCCTCCTCCTCCTCCTCCTCCACCTCCTCCTCCTCCTGTCGCTTCTCCTTCTCCTGCTCCTTCTCCTCCTCCTGTTCAGACTACATGGCTCGCCAAACGGCACTGCGACGCCGCGCAAGCATTGGGCCACATCGGATAAAAGGGAACACTCGGGGGAGGCCTCCCTCTTGCTCTTCCTCCTCCTTTTCTCCTCTTCCTCCACATCCTCCCCCCCTCCTCCTGCTCCTCCTCCTCGTCCTTCTCCTCCTCCTCCTCCTCCTCCTCGTTCTTCTCCTCCTCCTTCTCCTCCTCATCCTCCTCCTCCTCCTTCTCTCCTCCTCCCCCATCCCCCCCCCTCTCCCCCCCTCCTCCTCACGCCTCCTCCTCCGCCTCCTCCTCTCCTCCTTCCTTCCTCCCCCTCCTCCTCCATACTCCTCCGGCGTCTTCTCCTCCTCCTCCTACCTTTTTCCTCCTCCTCCTTCCCCCTCCTCCTTCCCCATCATCATCATCAGCATCACCATCATCATCGTCATCATCATCATCAGCATCATCATCAGCATCATCATTATCAGCATCATCAGCAGCAGCATCATCATCATCATCGTCATCATCATCATCATCATCCCTCTTCCCTCCTCCTCCCCCCGTCCCCCTTCGCTCTCCACCCCCCTCCTCCCCCCCTCGCCCTCCTCTTCCTCCTCCTCCTCCTCCTCCTCCTCCTCCTCCTCGTCCATCTCCTCTTCCTCTTTTCCTTTTCCTCATCCTCCTCCTCCACCGCCTCCGCGTGCAAGCAATCCAACAACATGTCGCGGAAATCAACGAACTGTGTCCCTCCGGTTTTTTTTCGAGCGTCCTTTTAGGACTTGTCGGGGCCGTCTTAGGGCCCCCTTGGGCGTCCTGGGAACCCCCGAAATCATGTTCCGATAGAGGCTTCGGGGAACATGATTTCGGACGCTGCGGAAGAGGCCTCCCGAGAATCTCTATAGGCAGCTCTGCTTGCCCCCGTTGTGGCTCTGTTGGGTGCCTTTTGGGGCTCTCTTGGGCTGGCTTGTAGCTATCATGGGTCATCTTGGGTCCCTCTTGGGCCGTCTTGGGGCTCGTCGGGGTGGTACTGTGAAGACGTCATCGTCGTCGCCGTTCGCCGATCGGCGGCGTCAACTGTTGTCATCGTCGTCCATCGTCGTCGTCGTCGTCGGTCGTCGCCGTCGACGACCGTCGTCGTCATCGTCAATCACCGTCGCCGATCACCGTCGCCGATCGTCGATCGGCCCCGAGCCCTCCCGCCCGCTCATCCTCCTCTCCTCCTCCTCCTCCTCCTCCTCCTCCTCCTCCTAATCTGCCTCCTCTTCCTCTTCCTCCTCCTCCTCCTCCTGAAATCATGTTCCCGGAGACGCTTCAGGGGACAGGATTTCGAACGATGCAGAAAAAACTGGGTCCAGGGTGGCTCTGCGCACGCGGACAACGTCGCCGCCGTCGGCGTGGCCGTCGTCGTCGTAGCCGTCGTTCGTCGATCGGCGACGTCGACTGTTGTCATCGTCTTCTATCGTCGTCGTCGTCGTCGGTCGTCGACCGTCGTCGTCGTCGTCGTCGTCGTCGTCGTCGTCGTCGTCGTCGTCAATAACCGTCGCCGGTCGTCGTCGCCGATCGTCGATCGCCCTCGAGCCTCCTCCTCTCTCCCCCCCTCCTCCCCTCCACTCCTCCTCCCCGCCTCCTCCTCCTTCCCCTCTTCCTTCTCCTCCTCCCCCTCTCCTCCGCGTGGAAGAAATCCAACAACATTTCGCGCAAATCAACGAACTATGGCCCTCCGGACTTTTTTGAACGTCCATTTAAGGCCTTTTGGGGCCGTCTTACGGCCCTCTTGGGCGTCCTGGGAACCAGGAAATCATGTTCCCGGAGAGGCTTCTGGGAATATGATTTCGAACGAGGCCCTCTTGGGCCTCCCTGGGGCCGTGTTGGGAGCCTCCTGGGCCAACTTTGGGGCCTTTTGGGCCGTCTTGGGGGTTCCGTGAGCCTCACAGGACGACCCTTTTGGGCCGTCTTGGGACCTCTTGGGTCTCTCTTGGGCTGTCTTGGGGCTCGGAGGCGTCTGGGGCATTGTGAGGACCAAGCAAGCAAGTATGCTGAAAACGTACGTTGTACAACGGGAGTGGGCCGATTTTTGCCTCTTGAAGGCCCTCTTCGGCCAGCTTCAAACCATCTCGGGCCCTCTTGAGGCGCTCTTGGACGTCTTGGGGCCCTCTTGGGCCTCGCTGAGGCTGTCGGACAGCGTCGCCGCCGTCGGCGTGGCCGTCGTCGTCGTCGCCGTCGATCATCGATCGGCGCCGTCGACTGTTGTCATCGCCGTCGATCGTCATCGGTCGTCGTCGTGGTCGTCGTCGTCGTCGCGAATCACCGTTGCTGGTCGTCGTCTCCGATCGTCGATCGCCCTCGAGCCTCCTCCTCCTCTCTCCCCCCCTCCTCCCCTCCACTCCTCCTCCCCGCCTCGTCCTTCTCCTTTTCCTCTTCCTCCTCCCCCTCCTCTTCCTCCTCCTCCTCCTCCTCCTCCTCCTCCTCCTTCGCCCTCTCCGTCTCCTCCGCGTGGAAAAAATCCAACAACATTTCGCGAAAATCAGCGAACTGTGGCCCTCTGGGAATTTTTGAATGTCATTTTAGGCCCTTTTGGGGCCGTCTTGAGGCCCTCTTGGGCGTCCTGGGAACCCGGAAATCATGCTCCCGGAGAAAATTCTGGGAACATGATTTCGAACGAGGCCCTCTTGGGCCTCCCTGAGGCCGTCTTGGGGGCCTCCTGGGCGGGCTCTGGGGCCTTTGGGGCCGTCTTGGGCTGTCTTGGGGCTCCTCGGGGGCCACTCTGAGGACGAAGCAAGCGAGTATGCTGAAATCGTACGTTTTACACGAGGAATGGGTAAAGTTTTGCCTCTTGAAGGCCCTCTTGGGGCCCTCTTCGGCCATCTTCAAGCCATCTCGGGCCCTCGACTCTTGAGGCGCTCTTGGACGTCTTGGGGCCCTCTGGGGCCTCGATGAGGCTGTCTTGTGTGCCTCTTGGGCTGTCACGCGGGCAGCGTCGCCGCCGTCGGCGTGGCCGTCGTCGTCGCCGTCGATCG